CGTTTGGCCTTTGTTCTGGGAGAGCAACCCGAATAACACCTGTTGTATCTTGATCTGATCCCCGGGTTAGTCCAGCTCATTCGTCGCGCGGCCCATTTAGGGGACACTGTCTCCCCATCAGTGTATGCATCGCACTCCCCTATCACCAACATACACTGGCAACTCTCGTGTAAATGAGAAGCTTGCTCTTCGGCTCCTGTCTATATGGCTTCTTGACTGCCTGTGAGATCCGTGTCGCACCCATTATGATATATGCAAATTGTAGCCAAGTGCAGGCTGTGGCCAGGTGGTGTGTGGTGCGGTGTCGTAGCCCACACGCTCAGGCCTCAAGAGCTGACATCTGTGCTGCCGCCCCTATTCCCTTTTTGTGGTGCGAACTTCTGGCCAAGTGTTTGCTATGGAGGAAGGAGCATGGTGATACGCTTAGGTGCGGATTTCGCCTTGCCAGTCACATGTAGGTGATTCCGTCTTCAATCGTAATGGTTCTGGCTTGACCCTGGACACGGACAGGAGAGAAGAAAAGAGTGCAGTAGAAACATCGCAATTCTACTTCCACTATAATCGCCTTCGATAAACATGAGTAATTAAAATAACTGTAGATGTACTAAATCTTATATAGTCAATTTCGTTAGTTATGCGAGTAGACAGACTTATACGAAGGTAATATAGCTTTCTTGGTTCATTTTTTGAACACGTATAAATATTTGCCCCATGCAAACGATTAATCTGTTTTACACTTATTTTCATTGGTACTAATTGGTTAATTCGGTTAACGGCAAAGTGCATCCACAATTAACTTTCAGAAACAGCGCTCAACTAAAGGAAATTTGCTGGAGGATATGAAAGATTTAAATTTTTCAAAGAAGTTAAGCTGTAGGTTGACAGTAAAACTACTAACCAAAGCACGTCGAAAATGAGGATTACTTTTTCAAGTAATCATTAAAGTAGTTGGATACTCGCAGACACTTCGCGTCACCATAAACAACTTTGCACCATATCACAAAGGCCAAAATCGTGATAAATGTTTAAAGGGTCCTAGTCGCTAGTTTAATAAATCATTTTGGCAAAACTAAGTCGATAATGCGAAACTTAATCTATGTTCACCATATAATTTGTTGAGTATCTTTCGGAAAAGGCTGTAAAGCTAAACCGCTTGGCCTAGAACTAAAGATTAACCAATAAAGGGTAAATACCATATTCAATATGAAAACAACCTGTCTCAAAGGGGTTGCATTTTCCACCGGATATGTGTCAGCAAACTTTGTCCGTCCACTAGGATTTAAGAGTTGTTACTACCTTTATTGGAAACCATCTGCAGCTTTGGATCACAATGCTCGCAGATTTCATATTTCCAATAAATGACAGTAAAGAGTTAAGACCAACTGTATCGGCAAGGATGCACTATGCGCCCCCACTCAGGAAACACAGCATAGGTCAACGTGTAATGCGCGAAAGTGTTACATACCAACGTTGCCTGAACTCTGTCCATTGTGTCCCCTAAGCCTATAGATGTCGCACAATATTTTTTTTGCCGTAAGTGGACCGATTTATCGGCCCAACAGACAACCTGCCAAGCAGCAAGCATTAGGATGCCGCACTTGTTTTAAAACGCAACAATTTGGCGGTGGTAATGGACTATGGCGCATAACTGATCTCACTCTGGCTCCCGTCAAGGGTCCGTAACAACTTGGCTCAAGTCAGCGAGGAAGGACATCGCGTATATTGGTCGGCTCTCGCAAGCGTCACACGTTTTGCGGCAAAAACTACTGTGCGACCTTGTTAACCCAGCAACGAATACTTGCTTTAGGCCATTCGGACTATATATGTGTTTTACTTTAAAAGTGGACCCCACATTGTTTAGAAACAAATGGTCGCACTTACTGAGGCCATGGGATGCATTAACAAAATGCACGAGAATCTAAAGGTTTACATAAAATGTACATCAATTATGGCCACAATTCCAATGTTATTTACTGTACATCAGACTCTAAACGTGAATTAGTGTGCTTTAAATAGCACTAAAGAACGTAAGTATAGCTATGTTTAGCAAGATATATGTCGGAAACCTTCGCACGTGGGATGGGACGTCTTTGCAGTTAGGAGGTCAGAGTGAAAGGGGTTTGACGATGTCATCCAGAATTCGATCAAAGCCTTGCGCGACCGTTGTGGTGTCATTGTATTATAGTCTTAGCTGGCAACTGAAGAGAAAATTCGCTGGATGTGTTAACAAACCAGCAAGTCTTCCTTTAAAAAGCTGTAAAAATAGCCGAAGAACAATAGACAATGAGGAGGTAAGTAAACGCATTTATACCTTGCCAGATTTGGGATTGAGGTGCGTGATAGGATATAATAAAGAGGTTAAGGAATTTTAGTGACAAGAGTTTCAATGTGAAGTGTGAATGAAAGATTGGATGTCGGAGGGACACTGAGGTACCAGAAAGAGGATACCTCATTGGGCAGGAGTAGGAGAATTTCACAAACGGAAGGCGCACTGGACTGACCTCTGGTTATTCAGTAGAAGACCATTGTCACTCTGAAATCCAGAGGTACTGGACTCAAGACAGCTGATTAAGCAGAGTATTAACGGATTCAAGCTCGAGCCAAGGCAAAACTCGGAAAACGCACTGAACTGATTTTGGATTGTGCGGTAGAAAAATTCTTTCCGATAACCATGGTGAGACGTGGTCCAGGCAATCCTTCAGCATCTGGAGATATGCCTGATTTTTAAGAGGATGACCGACAACCACATTATGTGCATATTTAACAGAGAATTAGTCAGTAAGCGATTTCAAGTCATTAATAGTGAGGGAGAAGAAATGAGGGGGATAAGATGGACCCTTGAAGACCACATTTTTGGGAAAGACCGTGGACTTTCGCTTGCCCTATCAGATGACTTGAGCGAGGAAATTCAAATAATCTCCAAGTTAAGAGATAGCCCATTCGAGAGACGCATGTGGATGTTTTGTTAAGAAGCAGATGGCAAGGAATAATCTTTACGGCGCAAAAGTAGTAAAGAAATGTGCATGCATACTCACGCCAACCTTTATGTAAATTTCTCACAGCAGTACGGACCAAAAGAACAACAACGTCTAGGCTACTACGTCTCGCCTTATATGCAAATTCTAAGGACTCGGAAAATTGGAGGTAAATGGCGTGATACACCAATCGTGTAGACCAGTCGCCAGGAATCGTGGACTCTACGAAGCACATGAAAATAAGGAATGTCACGTCAAGGGCTATCTCGAAATAGCAAGATTCCAGGAGAAATTATGCTACACACTTTGGCCCGGCAACTGTTGTCAGAGACAAAGTAGAGAAAACACTTGGTAGTTGTGACATTTTGTTCGAAAAAAGATAGGAGTCAATGGAAGTACAGATGTAATTTTTATTTTGAGTCTAACTCAAAGTCAAAATCTGTAAATGGGCAGTGTTGGCCAGTAAGATGCTCAAGAATCCTACAAGGTTCAGCAGCGGAAAGAGAAGAAGCAGAGGCAAAAAGGGTTTAGACAGTAAGAATAAATTGCGTCGAATCTAACCATAACGGTATCGCGAGTAAGATAAATAGTAAAACTTTCATTAAAAATGCTGTAAGGTAGCTAGAGCAAGATTCCATATTCTATTGATTGTGTAAAGCTGAGATATTGCAATATGTGCAAAAATAAACCCAACACGTTTTGTGGAACGTGTTTGCAAAACCTAACGTTTCACTCGAGTTTGGTTAACTGCCCACGTTTAGAAATGAAATAAGGTTTTAAAAGGGTTGTTAACATCAACTGATCTGAAGCTGACAATAAAACTCTGTTTTTGACAAGAAACAACTTGAGGTAGATGCTGAAAATATGATC